CCATGGGCTGCAGCACACAAGGACCCTTTGTCTTTCACATTTTCCCAGAATTTGCTCAGAGTCCTATCTGTCGGGTCAGTGACGCCGTCCAACCCTCTCACCTTCTGCAGCACTTTCTCCCTTTGCCTTCAGTCTTTCCCAATATCACAGTCTTTTCCAATGAGTCAGCTCTTCGCATCAGGTGGCCAAAGTATTGGAGCTTCAGGTTTAGCATCAGTCCTTCCGATGAATATTCAGGGTTGATTTCCTTTAGGTTGGGCTACTTTGATCTCCTTGCAGTCCCAGGACTCTTAAGAGTCTTCTCCAGCACCACAGTTCAAAAGCATCAATTCTTTAGCACTCAGCCTTCTTTTTGGTCTAATTCTCACATCTGTACATAACTACTAGTTGGAGTAAGCTAAATTATTATATTAATCTGAATAACTTTGTAAACATTCATTAAAAGAAGTCACTGAAAATATTCTGAAATTTATGAAATAGTCTCTTGATAAATATCTCCATAAACACTTGTCCAGGGAAAATGACTGGTAAGTAAGTAAGTCCACAGTTTTCATAACCATGATGTATTCTGTTAAAATACACTTTGCAAATGGTTCTTTCTAAAAGTGTGCTGACCTAAAATTACTTATGAAATTTTATTGCACTATGATCTGTGAAAATGGCTTATATTGGTCTTTTATACTTGTATTGGTTGTTTTGACGTTATTACACATGATCATTTTTTGGTAAATTTTTCAGAGACAATTGAAAAATGGAGACTCCTTCCTTATACGGTATAGAAATCATGATATAACTGTTAAATAAACTTTAGGAATGATATCATTCATGTCCTCTATAACTTTAATCATTTTTGTCTGATGTTCTTTAAAAAAAAAAAACAACCTGTGAGCTAAAGTTTCCCATTACTTTTCTGTTTTATTTTCTTTAGTTTTGCTTCATAAATACTTTGATACTAAATTATTCAGCATTTTATGATTACAACAATTATACTGTCATATTAGGCTTTAGCTGTCTTTAAAGCAAGTTGAAGTGCTAAATGAATAAATAAATAAATAGTAATATTTTCCTTTTATTCACTGAGTTTCATTATGTGTATTGCTTGTAGATATTTTGTATGTAGGATATAGATTTTCATTTTTTTGACCAAATGTTGGAAATCTCTTTATTTCAGTAATATATTTATCCTATTCATCTTGTCATTTTTTTAGGCTGATTCTCCCTCCCACTCCTTCTTTCTCTTTTACTTTAGTTTCATCTTTTAATTTTTTGCATCTCAGTGTTTTTTGTTTTATTTTTCTTAGCTGTATTATCTAAGATTGTTTCATTTATTTTTCTCTTGTAATTTTAATATATAAGATTTTCATTTAGACATCTACTGCTAAATACTTCTTGAAAAACTCTGTAAATGTTTAATTTCTAAGTTATTGGCTTCAAAAATTAATCAGCTGTGTTTCTGATATCATGGCATCCCACCTTCTCAGACTTGTGATGCTTTTATTTCTTTCCCCCTTTAAATATTTTTACTTATTATCACTCTCCCCTCAAATGTATAATTCTTATCTGCTTTTAAGCATGTTCATATCTCTCCGATAAAAAAGAATCTTTTTTCCATGACTGCACATCTCTCCCTGCAACAGCATCCTCTCCCTTCCTCACTATCAAACTTCTTGAAAGATAATTGTTGATACCAACTCTCCCCATTTCTCACCTCCTGAGCTTCTACCAAATCACTCTCCCAATTTTCCTCTTTCCTCTTGGGGGCTGCTTATCTGTGTTTTTTATAAAGTTATATTCCTCTATCAGACCTTGATATGCTGTGGTTCTAGGTTCCTTATCTCCTCTTTCTAGGACATCCATGCCAAGAGTTCCAAATGACACTATTGCAGATGACTTGCAAATATATATCTCTAGTTCCAGACCTTCCTGATCGGACTCCAGATCCTCATTGAAACCGCCTTCTTCATGTCTCTAGGACATGTCACAAGTACATTAAAATCAGTATCTCTACAACTGAACTCTTGACTGTCCTTCCTAAACCAACTTAGGCTCTTGTCCCTTCAACAAAGAGAGCCCTGAGAGAACCAAGAAAGAGTGGGAAGAAATGAGATTGTGTCTAGGGCCCAGTCACCAGTAGGCCTGGAGGTCACCGTGTTTGGATTTTACTTTGAGATGCAAAGCCATCTAAGAGTTTTGAATAGGGAAGTATTAAGATTTGTATGTTTAAGGATTCCTCTGTCAATGGAGGGGGTAGGCAAGAGCGGAACAGGAAGACCAGGTAGAAGCCCGTTGCAGAGGTTTGGATGCTAGGCAGAGGCCTGTAAGAGGAGGCAGCAGTGGAAAAGACCAAATGTGGTCAGATTTCTGACACTCTTCCAAGGTAAATTAAACAATATGTTGATGGATCTGGCTTCCCACATGGTGCTAGTGGTAAAGAACACACCTACCGATGCAGGAGACCCAACAGAAGCAGGTTTGATCCCTGGGTCAGGAAGATCTCTTGGAGGAGGGCATGGCAATGGGCTCCAGTATTCTTGCCTGGAAAATCCCACAGACAGAGGAGTCTGGTAGGCTACAGTCCATAGGGTCACAAAGGGTTGGATGTGACTGAAGCATGCATGCACATGTTGATGGATTAGATTTAGAAAATAAGATAAAGAGAAGAATCCAGCACAAGTTCTGGGTTTTTGTTGTCATTTTCTGATGAAGAAAACTTGGAGAAGGGCAGAGGTGCAGAGCAACTGGAATCAGGAGTTGAGTTTAAAACGTGATGCTATGAGATGCTTATTAGACATCAGATGAAGCTACTTGAGTTGGCAAGGGGATTCACAAATGAAGTTCAGGGTAGAGGTCAGAACTGCAGATACAAATTTGAAAGTCATCAGCATAGATATGAGATTTAAAACCACTTGAGGGGCCAGTGTAAATTAAAGATGAGAAGTGCAAGCTCTGAGTAAAGAAAATTGGTAAAAAAAAAAAAAGAAAGAAAAAAATTGGACCTCTTGTATATGTGTGTGTGTGTGTGTGTGTGTGTGTGTGGCAGCCAGCTATGATTGATATTGGTATTGTGACAGAAAACTCGTCTTTAAGTAGAGTTTGATCATTATTTCTTTCAGTGCCTGTCTTTCTTGCTAGTCTTTAGTACTCTAGATTAGAGGCTACTTTACGATTCATAAAGAGCTTCCTAGTATCAGCTGGATGCTTCCCAGTACATGACACCCCTGACTTGGTGTTTGATAAGGTTATGCATTTCTCTCCTTCCAGCTCCGATGAGGTATTTAAGAATGCTATTGATCCACAAGAGAGCAAGTTTCTTCAGTGTTGTTGGTCCCTATCTCTCCCATGGCCTGCCCTCACCTCACCTCTCACCCTTCCAAATCAAGGTATGTCTGTGAGTACTTAGTAGAGTTTATGAAAATACATTTCTTTATTTTTACCCACAATCCATCATTCTTTTAAGAAGAACATCGATGTTTTATTTCTGTTTGTTTCTGTCTTTGCTATATTTAAACATAATTCCTAAAGGGAGGTTTGTGACACATTAATTTTGAAGAGACTTCATAAGCAGATGAGGGTTGTGGTTTATGAATCCTGTTTTCTAGTTAAACTCCTTAATAGATACATCCCACTTGTAAGAAAACCGAGGCATTAGATGGTAAACAACTTTCATTAATTCACATAGCCAGTGAGTGAGACCTTGTTAGACTTTGCATGCTACAAAATCAAAGTGTGTGATTAATTTATAAAAAGTATAATAGTTCTATCTCTACTTTTCAGAGATTTTTCTGTTGATATGATAGAATTTTAGTTTTCTGGATAAAGATACTAAAGAGACAGTACCAAGGTATTGTTGTTTTCTTTATGAATTAATTTATGTTACTCTAAGAAATTCACAGGCGTGTTTCAAGTCAAGACACTTAGGCTTTGTAGAGACCTTCCCATCATGAATGTGTGTGACTTTCGAATTTTGAATTCTATAGAGACACAAAAATTTTATCTTGATAAATACCTGCCTGAGGAACTGAAGGGTTTTTCACTTCATAAGGTTGATTTCATTAGCACAGCACATCCACCTTCCATGAGCAGGCTACCTATCTCCCCAGCTTCTCTCTTTGCAGGTCTTATCCTCACATCCTGCTGTCTGGCTGTGTACTTAATCAGCAGCATTCTCCTAACATGTCTCCCCCTGTACCTCGATTTGTATGTTCCCCACTTGTAATGCTCTTTGCTCTGTTGATCCCTGCAAGAACAACACCTTCCAAGATTTAATTCAAACATCATCTGCTTAGGAAGTCTTTCCAATCACTATTGCTCCTCCTTGTACCTGTAAATGCCCCTAACATAGCAGTCATCATCTTTCACTCCACTTATTTCTTTTCATGTCCTTCTCTCAAACTAGATTTTGAGCTGGTAGAGGGCTAGGATACCGTGTCTAACTAATATCAATGTCCCTACACTATTGAGTGTAATAGCAGACGCTTAGAAGCATTTTATTGACTTGGCATTTTATTATATGCAAGGATGGTATCCAGAACCTTCGGCAGCCATACTGAAGGAGAAATGACCAATCCTAACAGATACTTAAGTCATCATACTGGTGCATATCAGGTAAATATCAGCTCATCAAGTTTTGCTGTATTTCCATTTCACACCTTCTTCTTTATTATTTTGATCTTTATGGATCTGGTAAAATAATATACAGCCAATAATTTTATAGCGAAGTACATAGCTTTTCTTTTTTTTTTTCCAAAATCTGTTTTCCTAAAACAGCTATGGTCTACACTCCTACCGTGTCAAATTCAGTGACAGGATCTCATTAGATCGTCATATTAAAGCTTCTGTCAAGTTATTTAAAAGAGAATTGCATTTTGTTTGCCTTGTGAATTGTTGGTTTTGACACTTCCTATGTAGTTCTATGTCATATGAAGTGCTGACACACCGGTTGGATCACTGAAAACAGTGAAATTATAAGCCTTTTATTGAGGGATTATTTCCACAGCAGCCAGAACTATCTTACTCCTTAGTAAATGATAAGTGAAAACCCACCGTCAGTTTGTGGCCCACATTGTTGCAAGATGAGACACCAGCCTGTGAGACCAAGGCATCCATGGGTGCTTAAAGAAGGTGCTTGTTTTTGATTTAGTGATACTCTTCTTCTTCTGGAAACATTTAACAAGAGTTAAGCTGAAACAAAAGTAAAGAAATATATGGTATTTTCTGTGACCCCCAAGGAATGGTATACAGATACGGATTTTAGCATCGTATTATGAGACAGTGCCTTTTAGAATTTCAGCATGTAGGATCACAAATCATCACCAAAGCTACTTAATCTGTAGAAAGTATTTACAACAAGCTAATGCCCCCTAGAATAAAAGGGAGCATTTAACGTGGCAGACCATGATGGAGGGGAAGCAATAAAAGAGAAAGCACAGCTTGAAGTGCAGTATAACTGGGTGACTTACACCTCCCTACTGAAGGCAGCAGACTTGCAGTTACGGAACTGCTAATCTGTTCTACTGTTTTTTAATCAGATGTTGGCATTATCTGCCACTAATTGCTTTTTCATTTCCACTTGTAATTATTCCATTGCATGTTTGTAGTGAGAAGCTGAAAATGAGGCAGATCACTGAGAAAGAATTAATTGTTAATGAATAATCATCAGTAGGAAGCCAATTTCATTATCTTCAAAGAGGTAGCCAGAGATTAACCACTAGCTGTGGTTCTCCTACTTTCTGTGCATGACTGTAAAGTAATCACAAATAATCACGCCCTCCAACTTCATCAATTATTTTCTATTATGTGGATTGATACCCATTTTTGTCTTTGTTGTTTAATGATAATGGCAGTATTCATGCTGGGGAGTGCTAATTGGAAGGTGTTACATTCAGTGGGCTCTAGGCCTAATTATTAGAGCATCTTCTTCATTAGCACATGATCCTTCAAGGGTTGCATAGTGGGAGTTACTAATTTTTCCAAGTTATAAGACTATCATATAGGAAACTTTTGCATGTCCGTATGCCGAGTAACACACAGAAAATCTTCATCTGGTCAAAGTTGTGTGGCTCCCAACAGAGGCTTTCTGTTTAAGTAAAATAGAACATTTTAACCTGATATAAGTCTTTGAACACAAAGCTCCTTTCTGCCCTAGAAGCTCGGTCTGCCCAGGACTGTTGATGGCCTTTCACTTCTGCTTTCTGAACTAACACTTGTTCTTCAGAGCGGCTCGCACAGCCCCCTGGGATTATCAGAGCTCTCAGCCAAGCTCTGCCAGCTATTAATAGAAATACTATGAGATGATTTGAAAGCCTCCTAATGTTTGTTGCCGCAGTGGCCAGTTGATGTCACTCCCAGACTTAGGGAGAAAGTAAGCATGCAGCTTGATCGACTGTGTGCATGCGCGCTCAGTCACGTCTGACTCTCTGTGACCCCATGGACTGTATCCTGCCAGGCTCCTCTGTCCGTTGAATTTCTCAGGCAAGAATACTGGAGTGGGTTGCCATTTCCCCCTAGTAGAGGATGTCCTGACCCAGGGATTGAACCCACATCTGCGGCTGTCGCGCTGCAGGCGGATTCTTTACTGCTGAGACATCTGGGAAGCCACAGGGCTACCTAACTTATCAAGGGTCCTTCACACGCACTGACTCACAATGGCCTTTCTCAGAGCAGAATTTACTGCTTATAGACCTGCTGTAGCTGCAGGAACTGCTGCAGAAAACTTCCTGTCCAGACTAGCATGGCTTCATTCTCCTGCCTCCCTTTCCATGGTGCATGACAGTCCTTTAATTAGTGTGGCAAAATAGCTGCCCTTACAGTGGGAAAGAACTTCTTAAGTGCTTGCAATCACTCCCAGGCAACGCAGGCCTTATTCCTAACTAGACCCACAGCTAAAGACAGCATGTAGGGTGGTGCAGCGGTCTCAAGTGTATTGGGTAACAGAGCATATTTTTCAAACATCTCCAGGAGAGAAACTTGCAAAGAGATAGAAAATTAGATGTAGTTCAAAGAGTATAGGCTTTAGGGTTAGTTCTGTGAGTTGACGTAAATTATTTAACCTCTCAGAAGCTCAGTTTCCCTTATTAGGTTGTTATAAAGGTGAATGAGAGGTTGCATGTAAAGTATAATACTAAACTCAAGGTCAGGCATCTGATCCACACTTGCCTTGGTTAGAAGAAGATCAAGAAGAACCTTAATTGTTTAAGTAACAGGTTGTTTTCTGGAAATTAAATTTAAAAAGGTTTCATAGAATATTAAGTATGTAACTCAAGTTCTGCAACAGGCAGATCCTGAAAAGTCAATGACTAGGTATAAGAGCATTTATTTCTTGCTCATAAAAACCTACTGTGAAGTAGTTATGGCTTTCTTCTTTGCAGTCAGCTGGGTATCCAGACTCCCTTAATCCGATGGTGTTGTTCTCTGATGACACAGCTTCCCAAATCACCATGGAAGGGAAAAGAGAGATGGCTGCGGTATAGTGGCTGTCGTGTACCTTCATCAGATGTGATGATTGTGTCAGTTCATATTCCCGTGTGCTAGGATACAGCCATGTGGTTCCAATCTAGTGACTGGGGACTTGGGGTCCTTCTCCGTGACTGGTGTGACAAACAGCATCACGTATTGTATCTGCTATGGTGTGCAAAGTGTAAGTAACCAAGAGATTAATTTGGAAAGATTGAACTGAGGGTTCGTAGAGATGGTTGGGAGCAGAAGACAGACTAGAATCCGAGATGCTCTTCAGAAGAGTATTGGAATCACAGAAGGAAAGAGATATGTAAACTTGAGAATAGTTTAGAAACCATGATTAAAAATGCCCGACATCTCTAATGTCAGAACCATAATGTCTAATGTCGGAAAGGAGTCACAGACATAAAATTCCAAGCTGAAACAGAAGTTGTGTAGAAACACTGGCTTTGTATGAGGAGACTAGGTATAGCTAAAGAGAGTGGGGAAAGCATATCAGGGGGTCTTCAAAGCAGACTAAGTTCTATAGCAGATCACTGCTGATGTAGTGGGGCAGAATAACTATAAGCAAGAGGAAAATACACCTCCAAAAGACCTGGACATTCAAATATCTGGGAGAAAGGTTCGAGTGTTTCCTGTAGAGTCACTGATGAGAAGTATCAAGCTTCTAGGCAGGTGAAGAGGGTCTCTGAATTGTTGCGTGGTGAAGATCCTACTCAGAACTTCTCTCTTCAAAACAGTAATACTATTATTTTTTTATGTAGTGACTTTTACTCTAGCACAAAACAACCTTCCAAGGCCAATAGCATGAGGCTCTTGGTTAATCTGTTGTTGGATAGCAGATTGGAAAGGAGGAGGTGAGAAGTAGGGGAAAGGGAGTGGTACACACAGGCTTACCCACATCTTCATTGTTTTTGATGTTACATGTGAGAAAAGTGATTGCTGTGGGATGAACCTAACAGGTCGCTAACCAGTGGCGTTATTTTGGCATTTGGGCATTGGATTATTCCTAGATGCCAAGCTGTAAATTGATGCTATGGACTGAAATGCTTTCTTTTGATTAAATTTTAGCTAAGACCCCTTGCTTACATGCTGTATTTGTCTGACGTAAATTGTTATATATGACATTTCACAGGGTGTTAACCATGCACTTCAAGACCCTGACCTTCTGCAGGCATTCAAGCTGGTTTACTGATGCTTAGCTTCTGTTTCCAGAAGTTGTGTTTCTGTGTCTCCTTTCTCAGTCACTTGACTAATGTCTTTGATGAAAAAAACATTCTATTCTCCTCCCATCTCCAACCTTACCATTCTACTTCACCATGGCTACCACCACAGCACTGTTACAGAGTTAGAAGGTGATGGTTTCATTTTCATTTTTTATTTGTTTTGCTTCTAACAAAGGGATGTTCAAACCAGAGGTAGGATAACACAATGATCTTTAGTTGAAAATTCATTCTGTCAGAGACTAGAGAAGAGAAAACCAGTCCTTGAGAGCTGGCATGAGCACTTTGAGTAAAAAGGCATCCTGGAAGTAGGGTATACAGAGCATCCCAGCCCTACAAGACATTTTCTTTAAGACCTAGATATAGAAATCAAATCTAAGAGCTTTAATTATTGCTTTTTAATAATTGTGTATAATAATAGTGTTAGTTGTTCAGTTCGTGTCCAACTCTTTGCCACCCCATGGACTGTAGCCTACCAGGCTCCTCTGTCCATGGAATTCTCCAGGCAAGAATACTGCAGTAGGTTGCCATGTCCTCCTCCAGGTGACCGTCCTGTCCCAAGGATTGAACTCAGGTCTCCTGCACTGCAGGCAGTTTCTTTGAAGTCTGAGATGCTAGGAAAGCCCCAATAATGATAATAATGTTACCTTAAATTTTAACACTTACAGAACTTTATTCATGAATTCAGGTGTTTGGTATTGTATAAAGGGTATGAAAATGAAGAGCAAGCAGTTCTTACCCTCCAAAATTTAAACTCATATAATTTTATCTCCTAACTGTGGCCCTATTTCAGAGTGCTTCATGGGTGAGCAAAAGAAAACCAAACTAGAGGTTTTAGAGGCCTCTGTTTTCAGGGATAAAGATAGTTTAAAAATTAAATAATATGGTCAAAATAATGATTTTTTTTTATGAAACCATAGTTCTGAACTTCAGGCTGAAATCTGTAACTACTCTTTAAAACAAGTTAGAGATAAAAGTAAGTGAGGTTGTGACATATGAAAATAAATCTTGATACAATTAAGAAAATCTTAAAATGTCTTTGGGAGCTTTTTATTGTCAATAAACTCAGTCATCATATATTTTTACAAATGAGACCTTTCTAGTACCAATTGTATTTTCAGTACTTTATGCAAGAGATAAGAGCTAATTGTATAACATCAGGCTCACATCCTATACATTTCCATGAGAAAAACTAGGTTCTGTATCAACCATAAAGATTAGCAGAGGGTCTCACGAATGAAGCAATAACAGAGACCATTCTCAAGTGAAAACTTTACCCTACATTGGTATTCTCCCATTTTGTTATCTCATATCAATTTTAATACCTTATATCTCATCAGAGAGCGGTTATACTCTGACATGTTCCCTCCTGGTGCAAAATAGCAGCTTCTAAAATATAAATCACTGCAGAGAATTGCTGGATTTAGAGCCAATTCTTCTAATCAAAAACAATAGCAATGTTAATTTCAGCTTGAGAATGATGATTTTTGTATGGTGATATAATGGTGTCAACCACAGCCATAAAATATGCTTCAAATGGGGTACCTTTTTTGCGTTTAGACTAGGGTGACTTCTGTCACATTTCTTTCTTTGGCATGGAAACTGACAATCTATTAAATAAATATTAATCCCTAGCAGTCTTCAAAGCAGCCTCAACCATATCAGGATTTTAAATAACTTCATTAATTGCTTAACTACCTTTCCCCTGAATTCCTGAGGGATGCTTTGATGCTCGTCACTCTAATGAGTTACCAAGTGATTCATGACTTCAACCTGTTATCACGCAAAATACATTTCCAGTTGGAAATTTTTACGGAAGTTTATGCCAGAAAGTTAGTAATGATTCTAGACTTTAAAGAGGTCAGGTTTCGTCGTTTATGAAGAAGAATGATTTGACTTTCTTTTTTTCCTTTTTTTGAACAGTATACTCTAAAAGGGTGTAATGTGTCCAGAAATTCAATTTGGGCAATGTATGATCAAAGGAATTATATTTGAATGATGAAGATGATCTGGATTATCTCTGGGGGCTTCCCTGGTGGAACAGTAGTAAAGAATCCATCTGTGATGGAGGAGACACGGGTTCAGTCCCTGGGTCAGGAAGATCCCCTGGAGGAGGACATGGCAATCCACTCCAGTGTTCTTGTCTGGAGAATCCCATAGACAGAGGAGTCCAGCAGGCGACAGTCCCTGGATTCGCAAAGAGTGGGACACAACTAAGCCACTGAGTATGTATGCGCAAAGTATCCATAACAGCCGCAATGTCTATTGCTAGTCCTGACTTTCCTTGTAAGATTTCATATCACTTCTTTCTTCCCAAAGTAATCGTTAAAAGCAGAGGTTGATTTTTTTTATTAATTTAGATAAGATGCAATTGAGAAGGTAACTATTTTTTCAAAGAGCAAGAAGAAATTATTTTTAGAAATCTATTTTTCAAAAGTTGTGTTTATTGCTCTCCACTTGAATTGTAAATCAAGCACTGAGTATTCTTTATGTTTCACTACCATTTATTATTGTCACTAACACCAATACACAATTCTTTTAAGTACTGTAAAGCTAATAAGGAGAAGCGTGCTTCCTGGAGAAACCTTGCTGGTAGCCCTCTGCTCTCTCTTGCGTTCTAGATTGCCTACCCTCCAGGAGTGGTGCTGAGCGATCATCTTAGCATTTCCTGTTGCCTCTGACCTGTGAGGAGTCACCCATTTCCAGGGTTCCGAAAGCTAAATAGAGAAAGAGGGCTAAAAGAAAGTACAGCTTTCTTTTTTTATTAAATTAGCTTTCATTGGGATATAGTTTCTTTGCAGTGTTGTATTAGCTTCTACTGTACCACAAAGTGAACCAGCTACATGTATACATATGTCCCCTTTTTTGGATTTCCTCTCACTTAGGTCACCCCATAGCATTGGGTAGAGTTCCCTGTGCTGTACAGTTGGTTCTCATTAGTTATCTGTTTTATATATAGCATCGGCCGTGTACATATGTCGATCCTAATCTCCCACCCCCCAAGTATGACTTTCTGTTACTTTTCTTTACAAAATTGTCTTTGAATCTGAAGCCTTACTAGAGATTAAACCTTCTATTTCCTGGAAAGAAAATTGAAGGGTAACTGAAAGTCAATTTTAAAAAACATAATTGAAAGTTAATAGCTGCTTAACTCAAATGTTGTTTGTAGCCCCTCTTTTGACTTCTGTCTTCAGAACCTGGTGGCTCCAGTTTCCTAGCCTGTCTGGAGTTTTGTGGCACAAATGAGTTCATTTTCCTGGAGCCTACAGATATCAACGTTCTTCTTTAAAACGTGTTGACATTAGTGTTACGCTGTGGATTTTTCTTTTTTTGGTCCTTTTGGATAGTGATGATGTTGGTGGTTGACCATCACTGTAGCAGTGTGAAGGAGTGGAGCTGGGATAACAGATTTGTTGAGGCTGCCGTGTTAACTAGGTGTTGACATTTGTCAAGTCTTGTCTTTTTGTCAGGGACATGGGAGTCAACAAACAGTAGGTCTAATTTGCACAGAAAATATTTCCAGTCTATATGATTGAAATGCCTTTTTAAGCATTTCAGTCACATGACTCCTCAAAACCATAAGAGATTCCACAGAACTTTCCTGGGTACCTAGCATCCAAGGAAGGCAAGAATAAAAGGTTGTTACTAGGTGGGACCTCGNATATATATATATATATATATGGGATAGGCTTCTGTATCAGCACATAGTCACGCTCATGGTGGAGATTCTTTGTAAAGAGGTGTTGACTTGGTATTGATGCAAATAGTGGCTGAGTCCCTCAGACTGCACAACCGCTATAATTTGTGGTTTTTATTTTCTCCTTGTTTTCACTCTTTCTCATTTTGTTTACATTTATACCAATTAGTCCAGAAGTTCATTCTTTTTGCATTACCTGTCCAGCATATTTAGATATCATAATCAAATAATTCTTTTATTCTACAATGTACCCTGTCAATTAGCCCACATTCCATATAATCATCAGGAAAGTGTTTCTGTCTATTCCATGCTCACTTGAATACTAAAGATTTCATTTTCCCAGGCACAGAGCCATTTCAAAACTTCATATCTTCAGAAACCTGAATTTTTTATCAGAGGATAATTGATGATACAGGAAAATAATAGACATAAGTTCTCTGTTTCATAGAGAGCCAAGTGACAGGTAGGTGAACACCTAATTTATTTCACAAAGGAGCATGTCTCCTATGCTCTTATTCTTGTTCAGAGTGTTGCCACTGAGAAGAGCAGTTCCCACCCAGATCTTTGTCCCTCCTTGGCCCACTTCAGAGGCTTCCTGCATCTGTTAAACCTGAAGGAATTTATTCCTGAGTCAGTTGTTGACCAGCACTTTTTAAAAATTATTAATTTATTTTATTCGGAGGCTAATTACTTTACAATATTGTGGTGGTTTTTGCCATACATTGACATGAATCAGCCACGGATGTACATGTGTCCCCCATCCCAAAACCCCCTCCCCCTCCCTCCCCATCCCATCCCTCTCGGTCATCCCAGCGCAGTGGCTGTGAGTACCCTGTTTCACACATCAAACTTGGACTGGTCATCTATTTCACGTATGATAGCATACGTGTTTCAGTGCTTTTCTCTCAAATCATCCCACCCTTGGTTTCTCCCACAGAATCCAAAAGTCTATTCTTTATATCTGTGTCTCTTTTGCTGTCTCACACACAGTCATGGTTACCATCTTTCTAAATTCCATACATATGCGTTAATATACTACATTGGTGTTTTTCTTTCTGACTTACTTTACTCTGTATAATAGGCTCCAGTTTCATCCACCTCATTAGAACTGACTCAAATGCATTCTTTTTAATAGCTGAGTAATATTCCATTGTGTATATGTGCCACAACTTTCTTATCCATTCATCTGCAGATGAAGACCAGTGCTTTTAAATCACATATTTAAAATATATAATTTATAAAATATGAAAAAAAATTTTAGTGGACACATCTCATTGTATAAAAAGTCCAATATATGAAATGTTTGGAGGACAGTCAATTTTTACAAAAG